CGGGGCCCGAGGGGGGCCGGGGCCTGAGGGGGTGAGCTGGTATCCGGGGAGCCTGCCTGGGGACACACGGCCCCTCTCTGTGCCCCAGGGGAGCCGGCAGTGGGGAGCTAGTTTAACCCCCCAAGCGTGTCATCGCTGCCTCAGCTGCCACGTGCCGACCTGGCTAGCGGGTGTCTAACATCCCCGGCCGTGGCCCCGCCCCCGTTTCATTTCCAGGAGCAGGCAGGTGGCAGCGGCTACAAGATGGTGTTTGTGGTAAATGCAGAGCTCGCCATGAGCGCTGGGAAGGTAAGGGTTCAGCTGCAGCCTGGGCGGCGTTTGCTGGGGCGGTTTCCCTTTCTCTCTCCAATATCTGACCAGGGGTTGTGTTGTGGGGGGAGGGGAGGGTAAGCTTGTCTCCTCTCCCTCCCCTGGGACTGCTTCCTGCTGGAGGTTTTACCTGAATGTAGAGCACTTGTACTGCTAATATCCCCCGTGGGCTGGGGCTTAAGGGGCTTCCTTGAGCTACCAATGTTATGAAGTAGTCAATTCACTGATAAGCAAAAGCTTGTTGGTTAATGCTATAGACGACATACATTCTCTCCTCCCTTCGCCTTGCTAGTACATTTTTTAGCAGGTTGGCCAGCAGCCCTGCCCAGTCCTGGCTTGCATCAGTTCTGGGACCTATCCCTGCTGTGGCTCTGCATTGCAAGTGTAGCAGGAGCTGGGCAGGCAGCCTGGCTCAGCTCTGGCTCATGCTGAGTCCAGGAGCTCAGATTGCTCCCTGGATAGGCTGCTGCCTCCCTACTCCCCCTGCTGCTGGGACAACAAGCAGCCAGTCCGCGAGGTGAGATGGGTTTAATACTGGCACCCCATGCTGCTGCCTCAGATACAGAGGCAGCAGCACAGAGTGGCCAGGAGCTCCTCAGAAGTGAGGCTGGAGTGCACTGGCTGCTGACCCCACCTGCGAGGTCTGTAGAATAGTTGAGTAACCAATAAGAGTGCATGAGGTGAATTGATCAGTCAGTTAACCTATGTTTAACAACCCTGCCTTGAGACTGTTTAGATGTCCTGTTTCCTCTTGCAGATAGCAGCCCAGGTTGGACATGCAGCTGTTGGCCTGTACCAGTTAATGCAGGAGCAAGCCGCAGGGAGGGAGCTGATCTGCCAGTGGGATGAATGTGGGTAAGATGGCAGTGTGTGCCTGACAGTCTAGTGGACTCAATGTTGTAAAATTCAGAGACCGAGTGGAGCACTCTGGCTCATGTGGGTCAGAGCTGCTTGTTGGGTGAAGGACTGAAATAACAGGTGCTCTTCTTAGAGTACTTACTCACGTCAGTTCCAGTCAGATGTGAGTGCACTGCACCTGGAGGAGCCCCCCCCCCCCCAAACCCCTGGAATTTCACCTTTGTGATGCTCAGTATACAGCAGGGGTCGGCCATCATTTTTTATGTGGGGCCACTCTAAGAATTTGGAAAGTGGTTGAAGACCGCACTCTTCCATGATATTCATGCAGGGTCTGGGATGGAGGTTGGGTGCAGAAAGCAGTTTGGGTGAAGGAGGCAGTTGTGACCTTGAGCACTGGACTGGAGTGGACGGGGTTGGATTGTGACCTGGGGCAGGGATTTCAGTTGAGCTAGGGCCGGGAACGACTGTGATCTGGGGCAGGAGATTGGTGCGCTGGATCTGGGAGCAGATATGGGTACAGATAGGGGGCAGAGGATTTGAGTGTCTGGAGTGAGGGGCAGAGAGTTGGGTAAGGGAGGAACTGGGATTCCAGAAGTAGTCTCTGCCTGGAGACTTGCCAGCCAACAGCAGTTCCTGAATCGGCCTCCCTGCCTGCCCTACCCCCACACAGGCTGCCGGTGTGTACTCTGGAGCCCTGGTGCTACATGGCTGCCTGTTACTGAAACAGGCAGCTCCTCTGGTAGAAACTAGCCAATTGGATTGGGCTGGGGGTGGGTGCAACTGCTAAAACTTCCCCCTTCCCTCCAGACTCACAATTTTTAAAGAAAAACGGCCCCACACCCATGTTTCTGAGCGGCGTGTGGGCGGGGCGAGGCAAGCAGCATCTGTGGGTTGGATCCTATTGTCCAGGCCTCATATAAAGCCCTACTAACCCACCATCCCTTCAGTTCTTTCTTACCACCTGTGGTGGGTAGCTAAAATTCTCCTACGTTTTGCTTAGCAAGCACAACTCCCTAGCTGTTTCTGTACTATTAATAGTTTTAGTTTATAAATAGTATAGTTAGACTGGATGTGTACCCTTTGGTCTCTTTCTCCTTGAGGGCCTTGTTGAGTCTCTACCGGATTCTGGGATTGGTTGAGTGCAGAGAGTGGTGCAGGACTTGATGGACCTTATGACACCACCTTCCCCTCCCAGAGGAGACTAGCTGCCTGCATCAATCTTGGTGGCACCCATGAGGTCACCAGTGTAGTTAAGAGCAAAACCAATACTGATGCTGTGCTTGTCTCCATTTCCCTGCCAGTAGTTGCCAGCACCAATGATGGAGCAGGCAGGCAGGCAAGGCAGTCGCACCAGTCCCTTAACCCAGATGCTGCTGTGTGGCACAGAGGAGCTCCATTCCTCTGTGGTTGTCTGATACCTAGTCCTTGAGTTGGAGGAGCAGGAGATGTAGGTCTCATCTAGGGATGTAAAAATATAACTCTTTAAATGGCTAATCAATAAGCATGAGCTTATTGGTTACTGTAAGGGTTACACTCAGGTTCCTGGTCCTGCTCCCGGGGAACTGGCTGCCAGCTGTCTCTGCTGGCTGTGTATCAGAGCCTGCAGCATGGGGCAACAGCTGGCTCCCTGGGACTGGGGTTGGAGGTGGGAGCCGGTGCACACTGAGCTGCTGCTTCTGTGCCAGCTGTGGTGCCAGCAGGAGGTATAAGTCGCATTGATGAGACTAGGGAAATTTCCAGCAGTTACAGGCTGCAGGCTCTGCAGTGTGAAGATTATACTTTGAGCATGCGATGTAGCTGGCTCCTCGGGAGTGGGGCTGGGATCCAGCTTCCAGTGTGTACTGGCTGCTGGCTTTGCTTCTGCGGGCTGGCTACTCTGTGTGCTTTGTGATATAAGCTTTTTACCGCAGGGCTTGCGACATGTAACTGCTGAGATGTTCAGCGCTTCCACAGTTAGTTATTAACTGCTTTTTAACATCCCTAGTCTCATCAGTACCCACAGGCCTTTCAGGACCCCTTGAGTCTTCAGTTAGCGTCACAGCCATTGCTCTCACTCCAGATTGTCTTTGGCAGTTTTGTCATCTTATGGTACCTCTGCCCAGTCCACTGCAATTCATCTAGCCCCAACAGGCCTGTTACCAGCACCAGGATCATCGGCATTGGCTCTGGTGGCATTATTGGTCCCCTCGGGGGCTGAGTGTGAGTGACCCACTTCCACCTTGGACATTGTCATCCTCCCTCTTGCCTGACAAGGCTGCAGGGAACCTCTATAGCCCTGGTCCTAGAGTGCAACTGGGTGCTCCAGCAACTGATGTGTACAGTTATGCAAAATCTGGGTCTGCAAACTATACCTGTATGTCTAACAGCTGGTCTTGTCTTGGGATCTCAGGGTCACCCTTGGAACTGCTGGCAACTTGTTCCTAACTCTGCCTCGTACAAGGTGGCGTTTTGGGTAGCGATAACCTCAGCCAGGAGGATGTCAGAGCTGAAGGCTCCAATACAGAGGCTTCTTATACAGTGTTCTAAAAGGACAAGGTGTAGCTCAGACCATACTCAACTTCCGTCTCAGGTTGACTGGCAATTTAACATGGACCTGGATATCTTCCTCCTTGAATTCTGTCCTAAACTGCACGTAAGCAGCAGGGGGCAAGAGGCTTCGTGCTCTGCATGCTGAGAGTGGATGTTTGCAGAGCGCTAGCCCTTTACATTGAAAGAACAAAACTTCTCAAAGTCCATTCAGCTGTTGGGCTGTGACAGATGAGATGACAGGCCTTCCAGTCTGTTAATGAATTTTGTGATGGATCATGTCCTGCGCCTGTGAGAGCTATAGCTTGGTAGGGGTGCTTGCCTTTCTGCTTGCAGCACATTCCACCAGGATACAGGCTTCTTCAGCAGTGTTCCCGGCCCCCCCAAACCTGAGGAAATTTGCAGAGTGGCAGCATGGTCCTCAGCCCTACTTTAATATCGTCTCAGGCTTGCTGAGTGATAGAATAATAACAATGTGGCCCTTGGCAGAGCAGTGCTCCAGTCAGTGTACATCTGAGCTCTGACACTGCCTCTGGATCTGTGGTTTGGGAGTCACCTGATTGAAGTTAACATGAATAAGCATGTGAAGGAAACAGTTATGAGAACATGAGTAACCATTCTGGAGATAAACAACAAACAGTCTGGTAGCACTTTATAGACTAACAAAACATGTAGATGGGATCATGAGCTTTCATGGGAACAGCGATGTGTATGTTCTGAAGATGTGTATGTTCATGTCCATTCCAATACCTGCCCTCCTAGCTAGCAAGAAGGAAGTAAGGGGGTGGTGGATTGGCAGGGCTTTATATTGAGCCCCACAAGGCATGGCTCCCGGGGTGTCCAGGCCAACCTGATGGGTGTTGCTAGAAGATTTCCAGCTGCCATTATGTGTGCGCACATCTGATTGGAATGGACATGAACAACATCTCTTGAAGGCAGTGAGTAACTATATAGAAGATTAAACTTTCAGGGCACGAGTGACTTTTTTGCAGCAAGGTGCTGCATTCTCCTTGCTTGTGTCTCTGAATTGTCCTTTTTGCTAAATTAGCATTTGCTCTAAATGGTTCTTCAAGCAGTTGTTCAAAAGGTTAGAAATGGCTAAACAGATAAAGATGAGTAGACATGGGAAGGTTTTCGTTGTACAGGCAGTCCCTGAGTTACGTGGATCCGACTTACGTCAGATCCGCACTTACGAACGGGGTTTTTCTCACCCCGGAACTCGCGGGTGGCGGGACCACCCAGACGCGCAGTGGTCCTGCCACCGCATACTCCGGGGCGAGAAAAGCTGCTCCGGGTGTCCCTGGTCTGGTGTCCCTGGTCTGCTGGGGAGGTCCCCAGCAGACCAGGGACACCCGGAGCAAAGCCGCAGAGGTGCGGGACCCTGCCGCCTCTGCGGCTTTGCTCTGGGTCTCCCTGGTCTGCTGGGGGGGGAGCGCAGCTAGTGCGCGGCCCCCCCCAGCAGACCAGGCTTTTGTTGTGGACGCCTGGGGTAGAGCAGCTGGGGTGCTGCCGGGTTGGTCCTGGAGGGACGCAGCGCCCCCCCTGTTCTGTCCCAGGCTCCAGATTCAGCTGCTGTTGAAACTGATCAGTGGCTGATTCCAGGAAGCTGGGGGCAGAGCAACTCTGCCTCTGGCTTCCTGTAGTCAGCCCCTGGTCAGTTTCAGCAGCAGCGGCTGAATCTGGAGCCAGTTCCGAGTTACGTACAAATTCAACTTCAGAACAAACCTATAGTCCCTATCTTGTACGTAACCCGGGGACTGCCTGTACTGAATTGCTGAAAGGAGGGAGGAGTCTTTCTGATGTGGGTTTTTTGTGTCTCTTGCTGATAATTTCACTTAACAGATATTCTAGATTGATTTATCTGAAGCAAATGGTTTTGCTGTTGCTTGGTGAATGGGAGATGGGGCCCTCTAACTCCTTTGTTAGGCAGATTACTTGCTTAGCTTGTACATTGCTCCTCCAGACAAGGGCCTGTGATAAAGGTTGCTGGACAGTATGAGCTTTTCCTGATCATTTGCTTTTTCCTTTGTAGTGCAAAAAAGATTGTAGTTCAAGGATCAAATACTGCTCACCTGATGGATCTGCAAGCTTTGGCTTTGAGCCTGGAACTGCCAATGTACCTAGTGCAGGATGCAGGGAGGACACAGGTAATCAAACTAGCAAATGAGAGCATGTGTGTAATTCAATAAATTTGGCACTTTAAGAGGGCTAATATCCCAAAGCTTGCAAACAATTGTTTGCAAAACTGATTGGGAGGAAGAATTTAAAACTGTATGAAGAATTGAGAATCTTTTTACTAGAGGTCTTAAAACCCCCATAATTCAGCAATTATCTAAGAAGGATTCCTCATTTAAACAATTGACAGGTACTTCTATTGTATATGCGTCTTGGTTTCTGTTATTTCCACTCCAAGTCAAATGATGAAGTGGGTTTTACCCATGAAAGCTCATGATTTGATATATTTCCTCTAAGGTGCTACTGTACTACTTGTTTTTAAAGTTACAAACTAACACTATCTCTCTCAGATAATTTGAACTGTTCTAGTTAAAGGCTTTGAAAGAAGGTATAAAACTAAAACCAAAAAGCTAGAATGGGAAAGTAGACACTGATAGCAATGATAATATATTAGCAGTTATAAAATGAAGATATTGAAAAGGGAAGCCAAACCCTACAGCCTGTAAGGGCTAAGGACAATTTAAGGATACAATACTCCAGTTGGGGCCTAATTAACATGACCTTCAGTGGAAAATTTTCTCCTTGTGTTTTGCTTAAGAATCCTGCTAAGATTTGCTAGAATTATAGTTTTTTGTGGCAGTTACACCCTTCACTCGTGTAGCTTGAGATGGCAACAGTTTTATGCAAAGAAGCATAAATAATCAATAAATACTTATATTTGGAAAGCAGCTGGATGACTTCCCATCCTAAAATGGTGATAGAAAACCTACTACTCTGACAGTAACTAAATAGGCTGTTAAAAAAGCAACTGCAAAATTAAATTCTCACATACAGGTTTGTAGTGGATATCTTGCACCAAAGAGTTGGTGGAAGAACTGAACCATTGATGCTCATTTGTTAACTAGAGACATTAAAATGCATGTAATTAAATAATCATGTAACCACTGAAATACTGGCTGCTGCCTTGCATTGCTGCTTCTGTATCCGAGGCACCAGCAAGAGTTGGCAGGTGGCTTCCTGGGATCTCCCCATGCTTATCTGGAGCTTGTGTGTAACCATGAACATTAACCAATGAGCCCAGGCTTATCGGTTAACCATGTACACAGTTACTTTCATATCCCTAGTTTTAACAAATATTGGAATGCTCTGGAAGTTCTAGAAGATTGGCACTGTTCTTCTCTCCTCCAGTATGGTAGAGGTGATACAGAAACTGACTGGTTAGCTCAGGGGTGGCCAATCATTTTTGACTGGGGGTCACTTCAGAAATTTTTGAAGTGACCCTGAGCTGCCCTGGAAGGGGCGGGGTCAGGGCATGTCCATGCTTCCCCACCCACAGACCCTGATTGGTCCGGGGGAGGGGGTGAGGAGCGTGCCAAGTCTTTGCCCTCTCCCCAGAGAGAACCACCAGCTGTTTTCAACAGCTGGTGGTTTCCTCTAGGTACCCATGCCCCTGGCAGTGGGAGGAAACTTTGTGCGCTCCCACCAGGTCACCCAGGGCCTGGGGAGGAGGAGCATGTGAAGTGTCTCATTCCCTGCCCCCGCCCTACAAGGGAACACTGCAGTTAGTCGGCTGCCAGCTGAGGAGCAGCTGGTGGTTGATTTCAAGTGCTGAACCCCTTGCAGGGTGGGAGGAGACGTTGCGTGCTCCCCTCCTGCCCCCAAGGCCTGATGTGAAGATTTTATCCAGCCCTAGGTTAGCCTGACACTGCTCCCATGTGAAATAATGGAACCGCTGATCTGGGTTGCAGTCAGTAGAGAATTTAAGGGTAGTTTTTGTAGAAAATGGGTCATATCAGACAAATATAAATTGTGAGGTTATCAACCAAGCGTATAAGAGAATTAACACTATGTGCATTTCTGTAAATCTGATACCTTACTTCATGAAAGTCTGATTTTAAAAAAAATGCAAAATCATGAAGGGCATAATAACCAGATTAAAAACTGATTAACATATCACATGAATTTTAAAGAATTTGGGTGTTTCAGGAATGTGTTCCAGGGCTAGTGCTATGCAATACCTTTACCAGTGATTTAGAAGAAAATATGAAATTATTGTTGGTTAATTTTGCAGATCAGTCAGTTTGGTGACTATAATAAGGACTGCTCCAGAGCAGAGCAAGCTGGAGTGTGTGGTAACCTGGATCCACTGGGGGGTGGGGGAGGAGTGTGTGTGTCTGAATGAATGTGCCAACACATGGTCATTGGCCTAGGATGCAGGAATGTAGGTCCTATTTGTAGGCTGAGGGACTGTCCTGGAAATCATGAACACTGAGAGTGACCTAGGGATCAGGTGGAAATCAGCTGAATGAGGTCCTGTGCGATGTTGTGGTTCTTGAATGATGTACAAGTACGGAAGTGCTATTAACTTTATATGTCGCATTGATGAGACTAGCGGAAGGTTATGTACATTTCTGGTGCCAACATTCTAAAAAAGAAAGGGTTCCAAGAAGACCTTAGGAATAGTTTGAGTGCTTCTGTTGTATACTCTCCAGACTAAGAAGCTAAATCTGTTCAGTTGATCCAGTAAGTTGAGGTGAGTTGATCAATGTATAAGTACATACAAAGATTTCTGATAGTAGAGGACTTGCCAGAAAAAGGCATGACACGATCTTATGGCTGGAAACTGAAGCTAGACCATTCAGATTAGAATGGTGCAAATTCTTGATGATGATGATTAATCATTGGGATAACTTCCATAAGAATGTGGTGGTCTCTTTTCACTCTGAAGTCCTTAAGTCAAAACTGAATATCTACCATCCTTTAAATTGCTATTGACACAATTGCATGCTTATTTCTCTGTTATAGGTTCCAGCTGGGTCATACACAGTCCTTGCCATTATTGGAGAAGAAGAAATGGTGAATCAGGTGACCGGGAATCTGAGGCTGTTGAACTGAGAGCAGCAACAATGCCTAATCATTTATGCTGTCCTGGATTACATGCTATGGAATTGGCAAGCAATGTGTATGCAATTTGGAGAAAGAAGTACCTGTTAACAGCATCTCAGGCCCTTCAGTGAGTCGTGGAAAACACCAGATAGCTGCTCTCCTTTCTGGCAGCTGGAGCTGCAAGAGGCATGGTGATGGGATGAGGAGGCAGGCACTCTTCCTGCCTCTTGAAGGCGTCTGTCTCGCTAGACCAGGACTGTCAGAGTATTGCTCCTCTACTACAGGTGGATTAGAGAGATTGCTGCACAGTTCAGTCTCTAGCTTCTCCTAGAAATTGTCTGGAAGAACAAGGCTAGCATTTTTTTTAAAAACGTATTTATGAACAAGATGAAGTTTTGACAGATACCTTGCCTTTTCTTGACATCTGTGTGGTGAGCTTGTGGCTTTGTTCATTCCCACTGTCAATACACTCTGAAATTTTAGTCTTATTGAAATCGAGGCCATGTGCACTGCTATGCTGAGAACGTGGGTTTTTTTATTTTTGTAGACGGATGTGTATGTCATGCCTAACACATGGGGTTTCAAATATTGTATGATTAAATGGATAAGAGCATTCCCAGTTATTTTCGGTAGGCTTATGGGCTTTAGGTAGATCTGAAGGGAGAATAAACCCTCTTGAGAGCTAGGAAGAAATTTCCTCAATGGGTAGTTATTGAATAGTTGCTTGCTACAGGAATTTCTTACACTTGTGGGCAGTCCCAGAGACTGTAGGGCATAGGCTATAGGATTAAATAGATCTTTGGCTTGGGAGTTCCTATCCTCCTAAAGCCTGTTCTGGTAATAAACTGAATAATGGCAGTGGTGCAGGTTTGATTGTATTACAAAACGCACTGTTGAAATAATTACTTGGCATGATTGAAAGTAGTCTTTCAATTAGGATTTATATTTCACATTCAGGAGGGGAGGGGGATAACTCCCTACTTCAAACAACCTCACTTGGGGTCTTGGTTGTGGTTTTGTAGCACATGTGCTTAGATGGAATTTCTAGGGAACTTCATTTAAACCAGTTGGAAGAGACTAGCTCTGGGTGCTTGGGTAACAGTGGCTTTTAGTTGTGTAGGCTTGACAGATTGTCTGATAGATACTGGCCCATGGCAGCAGCTTCCAGGTATACATGTGTGTCTATTCTTTTCACCTAGAACACCTTCATGCCAAGTGCACCTTTCATTCGGTAAGGTGCAGAGGCAGCAGCATGGGAGGGAGGGGGAGCATGTATAGTCATGAAGGTTAACCAGTGAGCCCAGAGTCCTCCGTTAACCATTTACACTTTCATACCCTTCGTGTCCATGTTCCAGACTAGAATAGATCACACAAGCTGTTAAGGGATCAGCCACGTTTGTGGGTGTATCAGACACACAGAAACTGGCTGATATCAGGAATGACTTTTAATGCAAACACTGGTGTTAAGCACGCAGGCTAGGTCTAGAATGCGGCTTTTTTTGCCCTTTTTTTTTTTTTTTTCAGAAGAGGCTTTTCCGCTATTGGCCCCATCTAGATGTGGTATACAGGGCTCCCCAAAAGCGCACGTTTGCTCTTGTGCGGGGGGGAGGGGGGGGGAGATCAAAATGCGTTCTTTGGACACGGTTTTTATAGGCTACCTCGTAGCCCCAATTAACAAGTAATAAGTAATGTTTGTTGTTTATAGTGCGTAGCAGTTACCTAACTGCTATCTGTTTTCTGATTTGTGTCTTAATTTAAGGAGGGAAGATGGAAGGTTTGTGAATGAGAACTGATGGGTGTCCTTTGAAGAAGATATTTCCTCTATAAGAATAGGAGGCACCTTACAGAGCAGTGGAATAGCATTATTCTCTTCTATTCTAGTTCTGCCAGTTTCTCCCTGTTTGCTCACTATCTTTAGAAATAGAGGCTGTCTGTATGCCTTGATTTACTGAGTAATGCTGCAGAATAACTATACAACTTACATTGCACCAGTAGCCAGAGGCTCCCAGGGCAGAGCTGGAGCCTCATTTAAACGGGGTATGGTACAAACCTGACCTGATCCCTGTCCCACAGAGGCATTTCCTTTTTGTTGTACTGTTCTGAATTTGACTGTTAAAATTTGGTTTTGTCTTCAGAAAGAGCATACACTATCCCACAGCTACTTTGTTTCTTCCAGTTCCCTTCTTCCCCCCCCAAAAAAGGGGAGTACGGTTCCTATAGTTGCCTGGCTTAGTCAGCATTCACTTTTGTGTCTGACCTAGGTAATGCAGGAAATGCTGTTGTGGATTCTCCACCTGGTTTGGCTGAGACTCTGGGAAAAGGAGAGAGAACTTCCTAGTTCAGTGTGGTCCTGAAGTAACTGCATGTTGATTTGAATGAGTGCCTGTTTTGAACATACCTGATTAAAAAATGGTGCTACTGAACACTCTTGAATGCTTGCCTTCTGATAGCAGCAAATGGGTTTAGCTGTTCTTAAAAGGTGAGCACAGCTATCAGGTGTCTGACAGTGGTTACATCATCTGTTTTGGAAGAATCTCCCATGAGATACTGAAAGATCTTCATAGTCTCCTTAGTGCTCTTACAAACTTGGGACTAGGGGGAGGGATAGCTCAGTGGTTTGAGCATTGGCCTGCTAACCCAGGGCTGTGAGTTCAATCCTTGTGGTGGCCATTTAGGGATCTGGGGCAAATCTGTCAGGGATGGTACTTGGTTCTGCTGTGAGGGCAGGGGACTGGACTCAATGACTTCTCAAGGTCTGTTCCAGCTCTGAGATGCTATATCTGCATATATTATATTATAGGTAAAACCAGGAGGATGTGGTCCATGGCAGTTTAGATTGGGGACGTGAAAAGTCAATTCAATAGGTAACCATATAGCCACTGATCTTATTTAGGCTTTATGCTGCAGATCCCACAGTGAAATCTCCCTGGGAGCAGGGCTCCTGAGAAAAAGGCTTCCTTGCTGCAGCGTAACCACCTCCCCAGGAGGTGGCTGAATGTAATTGGAATGCATCAGCTTAATGGTTAAATAGTTAGTCAGTTATGCTCTAACATCCCTAGTCTACCAAACTGCATATCCTTCCAGAATAGTAATAGAGATGTAGCCATGTTAGTCTGGTCTTGCTGAAACAAACGACTGGACTATGCAGCACTTTAAAGATTAACAAGATGGTTTATTAGGTGATGCGCTTTCATGGGCCAGACCCACTTCCTCAGATCAAATTGTGGAAGAAAATTGGCATGACCATATATACCAAAGGGATACAATTTAAAAAAAGTGAACACAAAACTCTCAAATCTGATTTTTAGATCAGAGGGGGGTGCACACATTCCTGTTCATCCAGAAATATAATTTATGCCATCGTGTGCCAACAGTGTCCATCTACTAGGTATATTGGACAAAATTCTCAGGCACTTCGCCAAAGAATTAATGCCCACAAATCAGACATCAGACAGTTTCACAAAGAAAAAACAGTTTCTTGTCATTTCAACCAGACTGGGCATTGTACCTAACAACATGTATTTTACTTCAAAGAGACTTTAACACCAGACAACAAAGGGAAAACTCAGAACTGTCATTCATGCTTAAATTTGACACTTTACGAATGGGCCTTAAACAAAGATGCTAACTACCTTATCCATTACGAAGATAACTTCCCCAATTATCCCCCCTAATATCATTCTCAGACACTAACCTCCTCCCTCCCCCCTTCTAAAATCTGATTTGTCAATTTTATGTGTTTACTTTTTTTAATTGTATCCCTTTGGTCATGCCAATTTTCTTCCACAATTTGTTCTCAAGAAGTGGGTCTGGCCCACAAAAGCTCACCACCTAATAAACCATTTTGTCAGTCTTTAAAGTGCTACATAACAGAGTGTGCGAGTTCCACATGACATCACGTGCTTAGGAAACCTTCCAACTTCCAGGATTTCCCTCTCTTTTGAGAGATCACTGTACTGGGGAGATGGCACTCACCTGGCTCCTGCTGCTTTAGGTGGTGTTCTGCCTTCTCTGCTGCTTAGGCCAGGGAGGTTAGTAATTTGAAGAAAAGCAGTAGTAATCTGGTGGGAACCTCTTCGCTACAGTAGCTTTGCTAAAGAGGTAGGTTGGTGAATACATTGGAGATGTGTCCTGTGGGCCAGGTGTGTGTGTTTGGATAGCACTTGAAAGGGTCAGGGGAGAGCAGGGCAGCAGCATCTTGGCTACATAGGAAAATGAGGTACTTGCTGCAAATGGAGACCAGGATCTCACGGGAGAGTGCTGGCCATGAACAGACTCAGTGGGAATTCTAGGGCAAAGCTGACTGAATCTGAATTAAAGAACACCTTAAACCTGTTGTAATACAGAGGATCGCAATAAGAAGCTACTTTCTGCTCTCCAGTCACATGTGCTGTATATGCTCAAAATGAATTCTTTCTAATCAGTATATACGTTGTCCTCAGTGTGTAGATACTGCATTTCCTCCACAAGATGGCTCTCCATTGTGCTTCCGACTAGACTCAGGAAAACTGCATCAATTTTGTGTTCTCCAGACCCTGCCAGAGTATGGGAGGAGTTAAGCTGCTGTATTGTCTGATTTGAAATGAATCAGGTTTGGGGTTTTAACTTCTGTTGTCCTCACAGGAATAGACAAAAAAAATTAGCGTGATGACTAAAGTAACAGGAAGTGTGCTGGCTGCATTACTGTTAGATGTGTGTTCCATCTGACCCACAAAGCGTGGAGGAGAGGATAATGTGTGACCAACATTTAGTAAAATGAGCATGAAATGGTAGTCAATGTTCTTTTCAGAATCCTTGTAGCAGCCCTATCTCCCTGTTGTGGTGTTTTCTTGTAGTACAATTTTAGCAAAGAGGCCAAGATAGTTCTTATATTACAGAAGGACAGTGTCAGTTGGAAAGGCAGGGAGGAGCATGCCTCAGCTGGACTCATGCTTCCGCTCAGCTAGTACTGCTTCCAGGCTGATGTATTAGAATGTGCAAGGAGGTTGTGCGAGTGCACTTGATGTTTTATTAGGCCCTTTAAAGTATCCAGGCATGGAGTGATCATTTTCTGACAAGCCAAGGACTTTATAAGGGGCTTGAGCAACAGGTGCACATCTGGGTTCCCTCTGCACTGACTGCCTCAGATGAAGATCTATGGCTAAAACAGTACCCGTGCTGGTGTGGGAAAACTGTTCTGGGCCAGGTTATGTCCTGGGGAGAGGAGAGGAATCTACTTTCAACCCTAGCTTGGTTGTTGATTGTTTGAAAAATGCCCTTACGTCCCCTTCCCTTGGCCTATGCTGTTGTCAGCGTGGCCGGCGGCTGGCTGGGGTGAGGCACTGCCAGTTCACGTGCAGTACAGGTGCTGCTCCAGGCGCGGGGGACTGGGCGTGTGTCGGCCCAGAGACTGGGCAGGCAGCCTGCAAAGGGGACG